CAAAACCTGGAAATAGACTGTGGTAGTAGCCATACAACCGAATACTATTAAGCAATAAAAACAAACTACAGAATAAAAACAAACTACAGAACGTCAGAAACTTCATGCTGAATAGAAGCCAAAAAAAAAAAAAACTATATGATGTTCCACAAAAGGCAAAATGAATCTATTGTGACAGCAAACTTTTGCTTTTGGTGAGGAGCAGGGATCACAGACCTCCAGCACCCCATGTCCCTACCCCACTCTCAGCACTCACCTGGTCACCCAGAACACACCTGTGGATGTGTCACCCCGTTCTTCAGGAAGCCCCCAGATCCCTCCGGGGCTGGGCTAGGCACACCACTCTGAAGCCCTCAATACTCAGGCTATTTCCTTCCTAGTTCCTAGTTCCCTTTCCGAAAGGAATCAGTTTTTCAACTCTAGAGCTGAGGGAAATCCACACAAGGAAACGTGTCCCGTTGGACTTTTTATTCCTAGCCAATGGCACAAAGTTTGACACAAACATCTGGATGAGCAGAGAACCAGCTTGGTCGTTAAAAATAATAATAATAATAACCCTAAGAGGCAGAGAAAAGGTGGCAGCTCTGAAGAAGAGGCCAGTTGGCAGACAGAGGAGAATTCCAACACTAGGAAGGAAGCCAGTTAGGGCCTTACACGGAGCCTTGGGGCCAAAGATGCCAGGACGCCCCACTTTCTCCCTGCTCCTTGGCTTCAGGCCCCAAGGCTGAGCCAGTCCTCCCATCCCCACTGCCCACTACAGGGTGCTGCCTGCTTCACACCCAGATAGCCAGCAGCTCACACCAGCACCCTCAGAGACCAGGTCCCTTCCCCACCCATCCTGCCTGAGCCCAGACTGTGTGGTGCAGTCCAAAACTCTGCAGCTCCATCTATCACATGAAGCAAAGGAACCCAAAAGATTTCAAGTCAGCACGCTGAAGAGACAGCAGCACTCCCACGTGCATTGCAGCGCTGTTCACAACAGCAAAGTTATGAAATCAACCTAGGTGAAATCAACCTAGGTGTCCAACAGACAGATGGATTTTAAAACTGTGTATATATACACAATGGAATATTATTCAGCCGTTAAAAAGGAAGAAATGCTGTCATTTGCAACAACATGGACGGAACTGGCGAACATACTCAGTGAAACAAGTCAGGCACAGAAGGACAAATACTGCGTGTTCTCCCTTTCTCGTGGAATCTAAAACAATGGAACTCAAACAAGCAGGGTGTAGGAAGGTGGTTATCAGAGGTGGGGAGGTTCAAAGTCTTAATTAGACAAAAGGAAAAGGGCCTTTTTTTTCTTTGAGATATTATTGCATAGCATGAAGAATACAGTAAATAACAATGTATTGGACATTTCAAACCCATTAAGAGTAAATTTCGAATGTTTTCACCACAAAAATATGATATGTATTTGGGGTGATGGATTTGTTAATTAGCTTGATTTCATTATTCCACGCTACATTCATAAATCATAACATCGCTTTGTATCCCATAAATAGCTACAACTATAATTTAAACTATAATTTAAAAATTAAAAAAAGAAAATTATGTTATCCAATTTTAAGTCCCTGTTTTTATATTAATATGCCAACCATTATCTTTTTATAAGCAAACTCAATTATCCATATACTTTATGTTCCTTGAGGGAAAAAAAAAAGGAAGCAACTTCAAATTTGTAATAGATGTCTAAAATGTCTATTTTGCTTCACTCCCAGATTATTATTTTCTTTTTTAAAAAATTGCTACCCCACTTTTGCATCCACTAATGCTTCCAAGAAGCAAGCGGAAGACAACATCTTTGACTGTACGCTGGAGAGACTGGTTCTGGGCAGGGAAGAGGCAAGTCCCACTTCCTGAGTGCCAGTACTATCCACAGTGCAGGGACAGTATCTTGCCTCTTTTTGCTGATGCAGGGACTGGGGACCCAAGGACTACGTGACTTCCCTGAGCTCAGGAATCTGGTGAGAAGCAGATCTGGGCACCCAGAGCATGTGTTCTCTCCATGCTCCTAACTGCTCCAGCCCTTAATGTTGACCCCTGACCTTGAGAAACTTCAAAGACAGTGAAAGTTTAACAGGGTAAACAGCTGAGAGGAGAGGGAAAACTTAACTCTAGGCTAAATTCCTTCTACATAATTAAATCAGCCCATCTTGGCGCAGAGGTTTTCAGAGGCTGCCTGCATGAAACCATCTATAAAAGGAAATGCAATTAAGGAGAGTCTTTTTAATATATCTGATTCTTGACTGTCCTTGCCCTAGGCAGCAACTTAATTCTACTTCAGGACAGCTATCTTTGAAAGGTGGTTATGTAAATTATAAGGTTTGAGGAGAAAAGAAACAGGAACCATTTCACCAGAGGCAAATGGGAAGCCAGCTGAGTGGGGAGGTCATTGGTACCAGAGCTCTGCCTCCAGCAGTGAGCACCTCTGCTGGTGAACCACCTGAAAGCTGTGCCTGATGGACCATGCGTGACGCCATCTCCTTACCAGTGATGGTGCCACCTCTTCTAAACTAGCCTGACAACCAAAACAGGAAACTCTCTTGAGAAAGCAGCTGGCCGCGAGTTCACAGTCAAAGATTTGTAGGACCATGATCTTGCTCATTTGTGACATCTGGAAGTTGAAAGAAACTACAACATATGTCCAGGGTTCTTTTTAAACACTGTTAGGTAAATTCCAATGGAGGACAGGTGGGCAGTTCGTTCTTGGTATAAGCAGCCACATGGGAGAAGGAAGCACCAAATCAGTGTGTCAAAATGCCGTCACGAATGTCAAACCTAACAAGATGGAGCCAGAGCCATGAAGAAGGGCCCTCACACATGCATGCCTATGACAGAAGCTATGCAAGAATTCCTCAGAACCACAGGATTCCAGATAGGCCGCTTGCCCAGGCCACTTGGCCTGACATGTGTCTGCACCGGCGAAATAATGCCAACTCCCACAAGAGGCCCCTAAAAACCAGTGGTCTTTTTTTCAAAACAGCTTGTGTGGACCACCCCTCCTGTTCTCTAAGTTTCTCCTCACCTCAGCCTCCTTGGATGTGCCTGTGATACCTCACCACATGCATCTCAGATTGCAATCTCCTGCCCTTCCCGAATAAATGAGTTTGAGTCTCCCTTATCCGAAATGCTTGGGACCAGAAAAGTGTTTCAAGTTTCAGATTTGGGGGCTTTTAGAATATTTGCATATCTATAAAATGGGCTATCTTGGGGATGGAACCCAAGACAACACATGAAATTCACTCATGGTTGATATACACCTTATACACATAGCCTGAAGGAAGCTTTACTTTTTTAATAATTCTGTGCATGAAATAAAGTTTGGGTACAATGAACCATCAGAAAACAAAAGTGACACTATCTCAGCAACCCATGTAGACAATCTGTGGTTGTCAAACCTGACTCTGAATTTATATGCTACCAATAAGCACGCATTGTCTTACACTTACACAAAAGTACTCAACTGTAAAAATATACCATTAATACAGTGAAAAACATAAGGTGTTTAGGGTGCCTAAGCAGCTCGGTAGCATCGCCCGAACACCTGGATCAGCTGGTAAACAGCAACAACAAACAACTACTGGCTTTTAATCTGCTTTTGAGGCTGCATTCATTTCGCAGGGTTAACATCGTGATTTTCACCACGGTGCACCTGCATTTTGACTGCGCCCCGACACGAGGTCGGGTGTGAAATTTTCTACTTGCAGCATCACGTCAGTGCTCAAAACAGTTTCCCATGTTGCAGCATTTCAGACGTTTGGGTTTTTGAATTCAGGATGCCCAGCCTGTATTTGTTTTGGAGAGTCGGTCTCCGTGGCACTCAATTTGGGTTGACAGCAGAAAGCAGCCTGGCGTAGTTCAGGTCTCCTGACCCACCACGGGGACCCTGGGCCCCTAGGTCTTTCCTCGACACATTCCCACGTCCCACAGCAGGTGAGGGCAGGAACATGGATGGCAGTGCTCTGTCCCCTGCCTGGCGTGCAGGAGGCCTCGTGTGGAGCTGTCCTGTGGATGACAAGTCAGAAAAGGTGCCCCTAGGGGCTTGGAGAGTGACAGGCTCTCTCCATCCTTCGGCATGGGTCACTCGCTATAGATGCTCCAGCAGATGGACTGGGAGGCTCGGAAGACACAGCTGGACAGGGACGGTTGTGGAGGACACGCCCCAGGGACAGGATGTCTGCATCACTCAAAGGTCACTTGGGCTGCAGCCTGGACACCAGACTGGCAGGGGCAGGCGCGGTGAGTTAACTCATTCATTTTTTAACGCCAAAAGCATACACTGAACACTTCTACGAGCCCAGCACTCTGCTAGGGGACGGAGGTCCAAGCCAGGCAAGCACAGAGGAGTGTGGATTTGATCCCCAGCTGGAGAAAGTCGAGTTTGAAAGCTCTTCCATGGTCACACTGTACGTTGACCTCTCTAAACTTGTTCCTCGGAAGCAAACGGCCTACAAATTAGAGCTGTCAAGACAGCCGAGCCGCAGAGCATGCGAAGCCAGTGCCCAAGCGTGAAAGCTGGAGTTCCTTGCAGGCAAAGGATCCCAAGTTCAAGGTGAAATGACTTGCACCCGGGGTTAAGGGCACGGATCGTCACCCAATCGGGTCCAGCCAGCGGAGAAGCCGCTTCTAGCAGGGAGGTACCCCTTTCACGGGGGAGGAACCTGAGGCCCGGCAAGGAGGCCGCAGCCAAAGAGTCGGCAGCGCCGGGATTCGAACCTCCCGCCCACTGGGTCTCCAGCGCCCATTCGCTGGCGCCCTCCCCGCCGCTTCTCGTTGCCCCGGAAACCGCGGGCGCCGGCTGGCCCGCTAGCTCTCTCTTGGCTTTTCTTGTATGCGGCGGGATACCGCCGGCGACTGAACGTGAGCCTCAGAACGCCGCGACGTT